TATATAAATAGACATAGTTCTAGAACAGTAGATCTATTGGCACAATTACCAGTCAGATAACATCCATGTAACATTTATTCATTAAACACTATGATGGAAATCCACTGACATGTACTTTGTTTTAAAACTCATAACTATAATTACGCCTCACATGGAGTAACCTTGTGACTAAAACAGTGACATATTYCTGCTGGCACCTGAGTTTGAATTAGTGGTAGGGTTGTTGCTTATTCCACCCGTGTGTGAGCCTCCTCTCCATCTATCCACCCAGCTGTACGCAGGCTGGCCCTGAGTTTGAGGACTGTGTTGCAGCTGCTCCAGGAGCTCAGCCAGTCGAGTGTGGCCGCGGGATCGGGCGATGTTCAACGGCAGACGACCCAGGGAATCAGGAATGGCGAGAGCTCTTGGGTCCCACTGGTAAAGGATCAGCGCTGCCTCGGTATGACCCAGAGCACAAGCCCACATCTGTGGAAGACCAAACAACTTGACACACAGAAAATCCCACTCCCAAAACAAAGACACAACTAGATTTAAGCAGTAATTACTCACAAGTGGCGTGCAGGAAAAATGGTCGACGTTGAGAGGATCTACTTCCAGCTCAAGGTCAATACTGTCGGCATGCTTTGTGCTGCGGGGAAAGACAACAAAAGTGAAATTAGTGTCTGGGTCCGTGCTTCACAATGACGTGTTATATCTGAGTGTAAATCACCGCCAGCGAATGAGTGTCTGAATGAGTCCTGCGTAACCCTGAGCGGCAGCCAGATGCAGCAGAGTCATTCCTCTGGAGTTCTTGCTGTGGACGAGCTGATTAGAAGAAGCCCAACACGGCTGAGACATCATCTTCTCACACACCACCACCACGCGACCCTCAAAGGTGCCATGATCGGGAGACAACTGAACAGTCGAACAAAAAAGATCAACTCCTGTAAACTATAGCACTTTGTTTTGTTTGAACTATAAAAAACTCAAATAATGTTGCAGTTATTCTGCACATTGCTAATTTAGTTGTGAAACACTTCACCTGACTGATCTMTTTTAGGTCCATGTGTTTGAATGTGCTGTGCCTTCCAAACACTTTCATTTAACTGAAGGAAAAACAAAATTCACACGGACAGAATAACAAGCTTACTTGAGACCGCTGCTCAGTGGCTCCTCCCCCCTCCACTCCTCCGCCCTTGGTTGCCATGGCTTCTGAGCCAGGGTTCTGATTGGTTATTTCAGCCATCCTCTGCTCCATCTGCTCCAAACGCTCCAAGATAGACATCCTGAACTGGGTGTCTGTAGAAATGCAAAAACAGAAGTAAACACTGGCAGGTAGCTCACTGTAGTCATGGAAATAAGCATCATTGCGTTCAACCTGATTGGCTCAGCAGWCACTGAGCTGGAATATAGCTGTGTTCTTAAGTAAATTATGTAAACTTGGAAAATATAAACAGAAATATCTTTGTGACCTGGCTGTGCGTGAGTTTGACCCTGGTTTTCAAAGCTGCTGCAGTTTTGCTGCAGTGCACATTATGTCATTCCACCTGCTGCTTTCTCACTCAGTTTTCTGTTTTCCTCTCTTCTCCTTTCATTTGTTTTTCTTTTCTGCTGCCTGCAGTACAGAGACTTAACTGAGAGGATCGAGCCTCATGAGAAACAAAAAGATTTGGGCTCCCTCCCCTGTGCTAGTCAGAGGGGACGCTCTCTTACTTAATTACAAACTTAAGATCGTAGCAACTCAACACTTCATTTAAACTATTTATTTCTTACAAATCCAGAAACAATGCACCATACAAAGCCAAACAAATAACACACTCTTTAGAGCAATGAATTTGCTCATCCTAAATAAGTTGTATTGGGGAGGCCACAGTAGCTCAGTGGTCAGTACCGCGATCTCACAATCCTGAGGCAGCAAATCTGAGCCCAAGTTGAATCAGGAAGGGTGTCCAGCATAAAACAATTGCCAAATCTTTAATAAAAGCTAACTTTATATGGCAACCCCTGTAGAAGCAGCCGAAAACATAAAAAGAGGAATATTTAGGATGTTTTGACGTTAATTTTTATGATTATGTTTACCTTCAATTTTTGAGCCAGAACTCCACAAGTGTCCATCTTGTTAAWTTTTTTAAATTTTTTAAGCCACTTCAGCAGAAAGGAGAACTAAATATTAGTTTCTTAATTTCTTCATCATCATTGACTTTTTTAGATAAAAAAAATTAATATTATATACCAGCAACTTTCCACTGCATGATTTAATTGCTTTTAATTAGTATTACAGTTTTAACTACACAATGACATTCTCGGCAAATTGAGAAATTTCTCAAAGTTTCTGTAGAGTCACGGTCCAGTTGACTTTAACTTTGTCATTTTTTTTCCTTTAATGATGATCCTGGTACCAAAGAGTGATTAAAAGTGCGAGAAAGAACGCCCAGTAGGCAAATATTCAAAGACATCCAGAAATCTGAAAACCAAAGGCGCTGCCACGGCAAGAAAACCAAACACCATATCAGATACAGAGGAATAAAGAGCTCACACAAAGGAAACCCAGAACAAAACAAACAGAGCTGTGACAACTACAGTCCGGTGAGTGACAAAAGCAGAAAGCAACAATCAAGAAACACAATAAAATTCTGCAAGCATCAAACTTTTACAACCTAATTCTATTATAACCAGCTTTATGAAACAAGGCAAGACTAACTTGTTATCTAAGTTTTTAAAGTAAAGTTTAACCAATAACACCATCAGATTACACTTCAGCAGGATTTGTATTCTTTAAACTAGCAGATCTATGGTTTCTATAAAATATTTTTTAAAACAATCAGGTCACAGCTGTTGCATCTAAATTAAACCACAAACTAATRCTTCAATGCTAAAGGATTTCAAGCTGATCAAAAGCATATTTAGATGAGGCTGAATAAATCTCAGACACACATATACAAAAAGGAACAGTAGAAAAAGAACAATACAAAACAGAATTCAGTGAWGGGCCTTTTTATTGTGATTAGAGGGTTGAGGGAACTCTCCACTCCTTTTAGTGCTGAAACTAAACATGGTAATTACTTAATTAGATAATTCTAATTATCAGGTGTGAATCAGCAATCAATTTAAAGGCACCACAGTACATCTCTACCCAACTATCCAATGCGTAAACAACGTGGAGACTTGTGGCTTTTTCTTCTCTTTGTCTACCACACAACAATGCGTGGTTGCATCAAATAAGCTATAAGCTCCACAGCCAACCACGCTTACTGTATGCTCAACAACAACAAGAAGGAAAAAAAAGAGAGAAAGTAACGCAGCTGCAAGCAATACACACCTGAATGCCAACAATAACAGCACACGAGGACAGGTTAAAAACACAGCGCGAGTCTCTCTGCGGCTCTCTTTGTTCTTCTTCCTGCTTCTGCTCAACCTCCCTTTAGTTTCAGACTCACAGGTCGCTGCTCCGACCGCGCAAAACACAAATAACTGGGGGCGTGGGGAGGGGGGTGGCGTCTCCACGCTTTTGTGTGCGGGGAGGAGGAGGAGGGAGGCAGCAGCGCTTCAAATCCGCCCGCCACACTCCGAGCTGCAGGAGCTCGAGTCGTCATCCGCGCCACACGACTGACTAAAATAGGGCACTGACGTGGGGGATGTGGTATGCTTACACGTTTTTTAAAATAAAATACCTGAGTTGTATCTCTATTTGGAGTCTTTGCTATTTGAGGTTAAATAAAGAAGCGCGGTGAGACGTGCGTAAAACAGAAAAAGGGGAAAAAAAGGGGCATCATTGAGCTGTCTAAAKTTTTCCCTGTCAAACAGAGCGAGTGTTGTTGCCATCATCACGTCCTTGTCCTTCTAATTTAAAGCCAGTCAGCCCCGCTGTGACGGAAAAGCCGCATTGCCGCAGTGCGCAACGCGGAGGAGATGGAGGCGAACAGAGTCAGGACATGGCTCGCCAGCGGGTCCCGTGTGTTTCCAGGCTTCAGCTGCATCAAGAGATTTATTTATACCCGTGCAGCTGACCCCAGAGCTGCCAAGACATGTGCAATGAAAGGCCCAGCATTCATGGGATGAATGCCTATCACCCGCCACTTCTCATGCCAGAGTTTYACACAGAGATGGAAGTCTAAATCAGAGCTGTTACCCTGCTTAGACAATAATTAAATTACCTCAGAATGTCATCAATCACTCATTCACTTCAGTCAGGTGTGCTGAATCAGGGAAACAGCTAAAACCTGAAGGGCAGGTTATGAGGAAWGAAGACCTCTGATATAAATAGCTACATGAAGGAGTTGAAGCCGTTTTTGGTCAACCCTTGTCAGCAGGTGTCACGGTCAGGGTGTGTGTTAGGGATGACCCTCAGCTAAAGTTTAGCTCAATATTTGTAAAACTGGAACTTTTGTGTTTTTAAAGCGACTAACCCGGAGAATAGTTATCTTAAATCAGACGCACCTGCAAACCCGGTGATAGTTTCAGATTATTATTATTATTATCTATTCAGCAATTTATAAGATATTTATAGCTACATGACAGCTCAGTGGTTAGCACTGATGCCTCACAGTAAGAAAGTCCTGGGTTAGATCCCCGGTTTGAACCTGGGGTCTTTCTGTGCAGAATTTGTGTGTTCTTGTGCTTGTTTTCTCCAGGTAGGGGAGACCGGGGATGATTGTAACACAGGGTGAGTTGTAATGCCACCAGTTCGACCATTTAGAGGGCAGACAGAGTCATGTGATTATTTCAATATTAAGCCACTCACTTCCCAACCTCACATGGTGGATATTAGGGTTGAAAGTTGGTGTGTTCAAATTTTAATGAGAAAAAATGGATTTTGAGGCAAGAAAGTAATTTTTTGACCAAAGGCATATTTTGTTTGGTGTCTACACAATCACAGCTAGAATCATAAAACTGATGTAGATTAAAAAGGTGTCAAGCAAAATGTGAAACATATTTCCTAGGCTAATTTCAAAGCACAACGCTAATACAGCTAGCTAAAYAATGGCTGACAGGTGTGGGGTGGGTTGTAACACTATAATACAGCCCGTCAGATCTGTGCAGAAAGAACATGGAATTTTCCATATACACTGATGAGATACTGCAAATCACTACAGACTATGAGGGAACAGGGATCCAGTGATCTTACCAGCGTTACAGAACTAGCAAAGTTTTCTGAGGTACAAGAAAAGATCTTGAGTCTAGCAGCAGACTGATAAATTAGCCAGGGGAGAGAACTAAAATGGGTGTTTGACATTATTTAAAAGAGACAAACATTGTTCTGGGTTGTTGTATTCCTCAAATAAACTTGTTATAAAATGAAATCTACAAAGTAGCCTCTATTTTAGCTTCTTTTGGCTTATTGTYACATCTCACCCTAGCATGTGTTACTTACAACCTACCCCACTACTGGGGTAAGTTGTAACAAARAGCCRCTGTGCCTTTGACATTAAGTCATAAAGTCTATGATGTACTTAAAGGATTTTTAATCAGTAACATTTGTAGTAAACACGAGTATTTTGTAAAACAGTTTGAGAACTCTATCTCCAAATATCAAGGAGTTATACAGCGGGTAAAATAAGTATTGAACACGTCAAAATTTTTCTCAGTAAATAAATTACTAGAGGTGCTAATGACATGAAATTTTCACCAGATGTCGGTAACAACCCAAGTGATCCATACATACAAAGAAATCAAACCATAAATGTCCAGAAATGAAGGTATTTGTAATAAATTACACACACACACACACACACACACACACA